CACGTGGCTTCTCTTGCTCTTCGGCAAGCCACTCACCAACATCAAATGGTTCGCAAATCCTGGAGAAAACTTACTGAATCCCTACATCTCGTTCTGTGGTATACGTCTAAATTTTGTGACTAGATACTGCCCGTAGTGAGGTTTGCCTGATCTCTTGCTCAGGCCTGAGAGAGTCTCTCCATTGGCATAGTGCCATTCTTCTGATGGTTTATTTTGTACCTCCAACTGCCTATGCATTTCTGTGGGGCCCAGCGGTCTTTAATCTAAGTTGTATGCTCTACTTAGTGTTATTCTGTTTAGCAGCATTGTATTTACCATGCAATATTGTTCAGTGTTTACTTATCATCTCATTTATTTAAAGAAAAAAAGTGCAGTATTCTGACGTATACTATCTATGCCTATTGTCAATTATCTTTTTGATGCCATGTCCTAACCAACCTATATTCTAATCAGAAATAAAGAATATACAAAAGATTAAAACTGGGGGCAAGTAGCTGCCCCCCCCCCCCACCCAGTAACAGATGCAAACACATCTCACTATTCTTAGGAATTCTGGGATAAAGTTTGGGTCATTTTTGGGGTTGCTAAGCTGTGTGTTCATCTCCTTCGCCCATCCCTGGGTGCTTTGCTGTTAGTGAATGAAGTATCCAGTATGCAAACTTGGTGTATACATATATATACCTGTTCATCTGTACACCTGGTGACGATCCGCTGGCACAGTGTAAATGTCAGCATCATTACTAACCTCATAGGGAACACAGACTGTATGTGATCAGTCCCAAAACTGACTTAAAGTGCTACAAGTATTGGCTGTATTTTGAGAAGTAGCGTCTCTCTCCGCAAAATCAAAATATAGAATTCTCTTCATTTCGCATTTTCATTTAGAAAAAAAACATTTTTTAGTTTAGTTAGATCTTGTTATACCAGTTAGATCTCACATGAAAAAAAAATGAAATATTAACCTTCTCTTTTAGGGGTACCTCAAGATGGGCTAGACCATCCATTAAAAAATGCACCCAATATTTTATATAAGACCATATGTAAATAGCAAGCTGTCTTGTTAGATCTCACCTAATTCCATAAATATGTGTATACACATTTTGAAGGAGTGCTTGAAGTCTTTAATATCCACAGATTTGCCATCTCCCCACCCCATTTATCTAATTAGGGTCTTTCCCTACTAAACAGGTAAAATCTGAACTGGTTTAACAAAAATCGAATCTTTGAATGATTCATTGTGTGTTCTCATTGTTGGGGGCTAACCCGCGCAGGCCAATGTTTTTCACTTGAGAGGAGCAAGGTCAGATTTGTATGTTTTGTGATGCACACGGATTTATTCAGTAAACCGTGAAACAATACAAAAATAAAATCTAATTAAACTCGTGTATAATCAGAGCTTAGTTATTGTATCCTAGGTTTTGTAAATTAGTTTTTAATTCACAACATTTCACTGTTTAGTGAATAAAGACCATTGTTACTTTGTAGAATTCTCTGACACCCACATGCTCTTTGTTCTCCTGTTACTTGAATACAAATATGTTTTTTTTTAAAAGTTTTTTGTTTTTTTTCAGAAACAGCAGAAGAAAACAGCATTTGCCAGTTCTCGGATAAATTGCATGAAGTAGGTAATTGCGTGCTGTACTGACATTGGCTTGAAACGGCGGCTGACAAATAACATTACTTAGCACCTGTTTGTTTAAATGGAGGATGATTGCTGGACCTTAGCACCTGAAAAATCCACAGAAATGTGTCAGGTAGTAACCTGAGGCTACAAATCACATAAACAATAATATAAACAATTTCTCCCAGAGAATACCGCAGAGAGACTCGTTTATTACTTTGCTACAATCATGCAATTTCAGAAAAATAATAATTAGCATTTTTTCCTCAGTTCATATATCATTAAATCTAATTTTATTACAAATATTTTATATAACATGTCTGTCTGTCTGTCTGGTTATCCATCTATCCATCTGTCTGTCTGTCTGTCTAGACAGAAATCTGTGATTTTTTTGATCCAAGATTCACCCACATAGTAGGAGTTAACCCTTGAGACATATATAATAATGCCTCCTTCAAATAAGACAATTCTTTGTAGTGTTGTTGCTTAGATAAAACACTGTAATTGCCAATTTTCAAGCTTTTAAGCTATTTTAGTACAACCCAACTATTATCCGAAAGGTAGACAAATTGAGTCTCGCTGTTATTTTGCACCTGGACCAAAAAACAAGAATCCTTTTCTTTGAATTTCTTGGCATCCTTTGAAAAAGGAACCAAAAACCCATACACGTGTTTTATACATTTCATTATTACAAACACGTAGCTAAAACAATATTTGCTTTCCAATGCGTAGAGTTTGCATTACATAAAAAAAAAACACAAAACCAGCTATCTGCCCAGATGTATTTATAAAATTCACTTTTTCCCCATTATAAAAATAAATGAATCAGTGCAATAACGTGTTTTGGATTTTTATATCGCCTCTGCTAGGCGGACTTTACAAAGTCATGCAGTATTGGGGTCTGGCCAGAGTGGAGACTGATGTTTGTCAAGGAACATATCCAGGTTTTCAGTGTTAGTGTGGGTATGATCACTTGTCAGTAACTTTGGAGGCATCTACTTATCTCAACTACCAAGCTGGTCTTCTTTTACTTCAGTGCCTTCATTCTTATGTGCCATCATCTATCATGTCTTATAGAACATCGAACACAGTGGAATCCTGGAAACTATTTAGAAATATTCAACTGCTACACATTCAGAAATCAACGATATCCTCAGAATTTCATAGAAACTGGATCCTAGCTTTCCCTCCTTGATAATACTTATTATAAATGTTCCAGATATTCTTCAGAACCACTCAGAGAAACATCTCAGAAGTCTCAGTGCTTTAAGCTTTCATTCTGTCTGCCCTTGTTAAAGATTGACTTGTTGAAGTCAATAATAATATGATTTTTCAAGGCAGTAATGCATATCAGTGCGCCGATGATAATTTTTTTTTGCCTTGTTGGCATTTACTATTAATCCTGAAGAGTTTGTGTGAAGCTTTAGTGTTTGGAAGAAAGCACTTATTTACTTTCAAGCTTTAAGACCTTGTCTCTGGTAGCTATCCATTATCCAGGAGGGTATCTGATGTATCCCTGTCCCCTGTACAGGAGTTTCTACCTAAGATAGGGTATAGAATGAAAAAGACTGTATTCTATCAAATTCAGGCTTTTACACATCCCTGTTGCTACTGTTGAACCAAACTACAGAATTCCCCATTGTCTAGGATTGAGATACATGTTTTTTTTCAGGTCTATCATCACAAGAAGAAGATTGCTGGCACAATTTAAAAGGTGCCTTTTTAACATACAAAGCAAATAAGAAAGACTCAGCACTTCACTCACCACATGGTCAGGAAAGTCACATCCACGGTGGAATCCAGAGGGTGGCTTTCGTCTTCAATGTCTTTAGCTTAATCAGCCCAAAACCTAATGTTTCTCTCAACATCAGACTGCGTCCACTTAACTAGAGCAGTGTCTACTATATTGACAGCTATGGCCAAGATCTACTCAACCCCATATGCAAAGAAAATCTACACAGGCCTACCAAAGGTCTAACTTTAATATTTTTTTATACGTTTTTCAAATAGTTTAATATTTTGCAAAGTATTTTAATATTTTCCATTATATATTTTAATATTTTCCATTATATATATTTTTTACATTTTAATATTTTTTATTTGTTTTTTTAAAGTTTATCCAAAAATTTTAAACCATTTGAGAAGCTTGACCAAAAATATAAAATCGAGGCCAAAGCTAGATATATCTCTGATGAAACACGGTCATTTGTTCTGAGATCTCAGGCTGTTGTGTTTGAATGTGCACCTTTAACTGATATTTGCTCCACCTTTTCCTGACAGCTCAGAGGGAAGAAACATGAATTTGTGGGTGCTTTGACGAAAGGACAGGAAAATAAAAATTAATAATTGTAAATATGAATTTATATTATGTTTTTTTTTCCGTAACTGGGGCTCTAGTATGGAAACAGTTGGAGGTCAACAAGTTGATACAAAAAGCAAATGGCACTGAGTACAGCAGTTATATTGAATACTTTATTTTAATTTACCAAAATCAGAAGTGGAAAAAACACATTTTACAGCCGCCTTGTTAAAACATTTTAGTGACCTTCAACCTTTCCTTTTCTCTCCCTTTGTGGAAATAAAAGCAGGTGGCAAGTGAGTTCCTGTGAAACAGTAAATGTCGAGCCATCGCACAGACTCCGCTAATAGGTTTACGTACCTTCCTTTGGGCTACACACTCCCAACAATGCTGTATTGTCTGAATAATGAATCGTAATAATTTCACAAAAACAGCTAGTTCTGATGTTTAAAGCTTGTTTGCCTAACTGCTGCTGTTTTTCGACCTTGGGAAGTTAGTTACACGGTAGATATGTTTGTATAAATCAGGTGGCAGGAATTGAAGTAACAATCAGGAGTTTAACATGACCTTGATTTTAGTCCAAGGGCGAGCCACACAGCTGTGTCTGTTTTTCTCTACATAAAGAAAAAGTTCTGTGAATTTGCTGTCAGGAGACCTCGAGTAAAATACTGCATCGCCAGCTGAATTGAACTGAAAACGAGAGGTTATAAACAAGGCAGGTTCATTAACCGGAAAAGCACATTTTGTCCCTTACCTCCGAAACCTTGCTGAGAGGCAAAATAACTGTTCTTTATTGCTTTGATCTTCATGGGTGAGAAAGGCGTTCTCTATACACACTTCCTCACAGCTAGTCTTCTGCTAGAAAGCCATTACTGGTGGAACTGGCTAGGGATTATTTAATATCTAACATGGAGAAAAGATCTCTGCTTAATGAATGACTGGATACAACATTACAACATTATATATTTATATACTCCATCCACACACCAACACACACTAACACACAGGAATACAAACACACTTACACACACACATACACACAAATATATAGACACACAGGCATACACACACACACACACACACACACAAATTCACATACACACATTCACATACATACACACAACCCGGAAGTGACCTATCGCGAGTATGAACGGCAACTGGCACCAAAATTATTACAGCAGGACGCTCGGGTGATTAAATGACATAAGAGGATGATACCAGCTTGCTGATTGGAGCACTATACAGATGGGCGGGAAGAATAATCGTTTAAACACCAGAACCCGGAAGAGGACCAACAGCTGATTGAAAAAGCCTATGAAGTAGGAGAAACGCGTCTCAGAGGTTGGAGGACTCAAGGATATTATTTTAGTAATATTTTGAGTTGTTTTACTATTATCAGTTTTTATTTGAACTTTTTAATTTAACTTAATAAAGAGCACAGTGTGCACTTTTCACTTTGATCCAGATTCCTATAGTCTGTAAGCTCGTTTGAGCAGGGTCCTCTTCAACCTATTGTCCCTGTAAGTTTTCTTGTAATTGTCTTATTTATTGTTACGTCCCCCTCTCAAAATATTGTAAAGCGCTACGGAATCTGTTGGCGCTATATAAATGATAATAATAATAATAATAATAATCAGGGCAAGTGTCACCCTTAACAGACACTAAAGTGCTACAACTTGGAGCCAGTTCTAATGGGCTCCTAACCAGGTGAGCGTTATCACATATGTGTACTTGATACATACTGATATATACTAATAAACTGCACTTAGGAGATATTTCTCCATGTCTTATCTCCCTTCCTGCATACGTAGAAGAAGACAAGGGGTGTGTATGCCACCTTACGGCACACAAATTCTTACATTTAGAGCTTATATTCTAAAGTCTCTATACCATGTGAGATGGTTTTCACTAATTGTCACCAATATCTCCAAAATTACATTACAGTTTTACACTATATACCTTTTTTTTTCTTTATTATATACAATTTCTACTCTACCCCACTCGGTAAGTCCCTGTTTTATATATTATATGCACTTTATAGCGCTGCACTGCCTGCGCTTTGTGATTTAGGGGTTTGTCACCTAAACACTAAGTAGTGTGTTCTTCACCATTGTTTGTATTAGTGGGTGAGCACCCACATAGTGTTACAGCTGTTACATCTAATTAACCACTACAGAAGTGCCTATATCGCACAAATTTCTTTAATATATTTTTTACACATACAATACGCATATACACACTCACACTAACACAAACGTACGTATATGCACATGCATACACACACACCATCATCATCATCATACGCATACACACACTAACACAAACGTATGTATATGCACACACACAAATACACATCATCATCACCTGAATTGGTAAAACACTCTTTAAAGGGACTCTCCAGTGCCAGGAAAATAAACCGTTTTCCTGGCACTGCAGGTCCCCTCTCCCTCCCACCCCACATCCCATGTTGCTGAAGGGGTTAAAACCCCTTCAGTGACTTACCTGTATCCAGCGCCGATGTCAGGGTCCGCCCACACTCCTCCCCGCGGAAGTCATCTGGCGGGGGAGACCTAATGCGCATGTGCATTAGACCTCCCCATAGGAACGCATTGGAAATCTGTGCTATAAACGCAGAAGTGCCCTCTAGTGACTGTCTAGTAGACAGCCACTAGAGGAGGAGTTAACCCTACAATGTAATTATTGCAGTTTATGAAAACTGCAATAATTACAGTTGCAGAGTTAAGGGTAGTGGGAGTTGGCACCCAGACCACTCCAATGGGCAGAAGTGGTCTGGGTGCCTGGAGTGTCCCTTTAAGTCTTTCAAAGTCCTAGCTGCCCATCCTTTGTGAGTGACAACGTAGCAACCACTAATTAAAAACGTAAACTTTATTAATGACATTAGTTGTGAGACAGCCAGTGAGTCTTACATGACATATGCATAGTTGCTTTTCCGGCATATGTGTAACAAACCCAAAGAACCCCCCACAAATACTCGGACACCTTTATTTGGTCAAATTACAGCTTTAATAATATATAAATAAAGTTAAAACATTTTAAGGTCATTGTCACATATTAACATAACATATCACCTCCAAGTCCTTTAACAATACTACCCCAGACAATGACCCACAACAGAATAAGTAAAATCACGTTATAACATATAATTAACATATAAACACAACCACTGCCACCGAGGGCATGACATAACCGCTGCCACCGAGGGCATGACATAATCACTGCCACTGAGGGCATGACAGAACCATTGCCACAGAGGGCATGACATAACCACTGCCACCGAGGGCATGACAGAACCATTGCCACCGAGGGCTTGACAGAACCATTGCCACAGAGGGCATGACAGAACCATTGCCACAGAGGGCATGACATAATCACTACTACCAAAGGCATGACATAACCACTACCACTGAGGGCATGACAGAACCACTGCCACCGAGGGCATGACAGAACCACTACTACCAAGGGCATGACATAATCACTGCCACGAGGGCATGACATAATCACTACTACCAAGGGCATGACATAACCACTGCCACTGAGGGTATGACATAACCACTGCCACTGAGGGCATGACATAACCACTGCCACCGAGGGCATGACATAACCACTACAACCAAGGGCATGACATAACCAATACAACCAAGGGCATGACATAACCACTGCCACAGAGGGCATGACATAACCACTGCCACCGAGGGCATGACATAACCACTGCCACAGAGGGCATGACATAACCACTGCCACAGAGGGCATGACATAACCACTGCCACGAGGGCATGACATAATCACTGCCACGGAGGACATGAAATAACCATTGCCATGGAGGACATGACATAACCACTGCCACGGAGGGCATGACATAACCATTGCCACCGAAGGCATGACATAACCACTCCTACCGAGGACATGACATAACCACTACCACCGGGGGCATGACATAACCACTGCCACCGAGGGCGTGACATAACCATTGCCCCCGAGGGCATGACATAACCACTGCCACCGAGGACATGACATAACCACTGCCACCGGGGGCATGACATAACCATTGCCACGGAGGACATGAAATAACCATTGCCATGGAGGACATGACATAACCACTGACACGGAGAGCATGACATAACCACTGCTGCTGAGGGCATGACATAACCACTGCCACCGAGGGCATGACATTGTGTTGCGGCTCCCGGCCTGCTGCATGGCACAGCCATGCCCGACTGGCACGACCTCGCTGATATTGCGAGCTTACCTGCGAGCCGGCGAGCCGGGAACCGCTCCTTCGCATCTTCTGCGTGTTGCGCCCAAATCAAAGATGGCGCTGACCACGTGGTCATGCACACCACAAGCTCCGCCCCTTAAATTTATACGGACGTGCGTGTGACATCACAACGTCAACGCACGCGCATGTTCTGGGGTCAGAGGTCACCCTCTGACCAATCAGAGCCCAGAGAGGGATATTTAAATCCCTAATTTACTCCAGTTCCTTGCCCTGTCGTGATTTCCTGATCCTGGTTCCCTAGAGTGTGTTTATCTTTGTGAATATTACTTCCTGGTATCATGATCTTTGCTTTTCCCTGGTTATTACGAATTCTGGTTCCCCTGACTTGGCTTGTTTAAACGGTATCTGAGTATTTCTGGCTTCCTTGACCTCGGCTTTCCCTTTGACCATTCTCTATCTCTAGCGTATTAGTCTGGCCATTCTAAGGTCCGATTTACGTTCTTTCCTTTTATTTCCTTTTTATGTATATGTTTACATAGTTTATGCGTGCTGGACCACACTAGCATCCGTGACATTACGACAGGGCCATGGATCCTGCGGAACTATGCAAACATATGATTGCCTGTGAGGGTAGGGTGGAGGATATGGACCACAGGTTAGACCAATTTGCCCAAGCATTCCAAACCTTGCTCCAGAGAACTGCCTATCTGGAGACACCTCCGGTACCGCCTGTGGCTCCGCCACCTGTAGTAGCACCTGTGGCACACAAACCACCGTCCATAACCCTTTCACCCCCCCCTCATTTTGGAGGTGATTCTATGGAATTTAGAGGTTTTCTAAACCAAATTGAATATCACTTCAAAGCTTCCCCTGGTTCATTCCCTACAGATAGATCATAAATTGGCTATATAATGAACCAATTAACGGGTAAGGCTTTAACCTGGGCTAATCCCTTATGGGAGAGTGGAAATCCAGTTGCCCATGATTACAATGTATTCCTAACAGCTTTTAAAACTACTTTTGAGCCAAAAGGGAGAGAAAAGAATGCTGCCAGAGCCCTGATGAGAATAAAACAAGGCAACCGCTCTGTAGCTGATTATGCCATAGAGTTCAGTACATTGGTGTCTGAGGTTGACTGGACCAATAGCGGTTTGGTGGCTGCTTTTTCCGAAGGTTTAGCGGAAAATATACAAGACGAGACCACAGCCAGAGATCTTCCAGTTAATCTTAATGACTTTATTGCATACATAATAGACATTGATAACAGGCTCAGAGAGAAAGAGAAAAACAAACAGCGTACTAGACATTCTAACTTATCCATAGCCCCTCGTTTCTCTAACCCAGTGGTAATTAACCTGAACCCATGCAACTGGGCATTGCTAAACTCACTGAGGCAGAGAGACAACACAGACGCGTGTTTGTATTGTGGCAAAAGGGGACATCAAAGGTTTTCATGTTCGGTTCGGCCGGAAAACTTGCACACCTAAGGCACGTTCGGGGACCGACCTTAGGTGTGATGTATATGTCCCCTAAATTGACTAAGAACCGTTTCCTTATAAATATTACTTTGTCTTGTAAGAAAACTACTGTACAGTGTGAGGCTATGATTGACTCTGGGGCAGCGGAGAATTTTCTAGACAAGGAATTCTCTGCCAAACATCTCCTGCCCTTCAGGCAGAAAGATAGACCCATACAGTGGTGTATCCTGGTTTTGTGCTGCCCTAGGCACCCCAACCTCCTTACCTTTGGGAGTGCTGGGGGGGGGTCTCTCTCCCTGGTGGTCCGGTGGTCCAGTGGCTGCAGGTCGGGCGGGCGGCGCTGGCAGGCGGGCGGCTGGCGAGGGAGCACTTCCTATGAGATATCTGCTCAGCTCCCTCGCGCGCCGGCTGCAGAGTGAGGCTGGGAGCCAGAATATGACGTCATCTTCCGGCTCCCAGCCTCACTCTGCGGCGCGCGAGGGAGCTGAGCAGTCAGCTCATAGGAAGTGCTCCCTCGCCAGCCGCCCGCACAGCAGCCAGCGCCGCCCGCCCGCTCGGGATGTCAGTTAGCCGCAAGGCTAACTAGGCATTTGCCTTGGGCATTTGGGGGGGCGGCGTTTTTTGCCGCCCCCTGAAAAATGCCGCCCAAGGCAAATGCCTTGTTTGCCTCGCGGCTAATACGCCCCTGGACCCATAGCAGTAGAGGCTATTGATGGGAGACCTCTTACCCAGCCTCTCATCATGCATGAAACCCTGCCAATCACTGTCTCAATGGGTATCTTACATTCTGAAGAAATGGTGTTCCAAATTGTATCTTCACCTACATGTCCGATAATACTGGGTACAGCGCTGGTGGAATTATCCCCACCTATGGATTTCTTGGAACGGGATACAAATACAAATAAATATAATAAAAATAAAAATTAAATAAAAAATAAAAAATGCCAGGAATAATAATGGTAAAAGTGTATATGAAATACAATAAAATAAGTAAAAGATTGGTCCTATAAAAAAGGTAACCAAAAATAACGTTTATTGTTATAAAATATACTATTTAAAACCATTAACACGTTTCACCAATGAGGCTTTTTCAAAAATGGTAATAGAACAATATACCTGGCATAAAACAGTATATATAAGAGTACACAGTGGTTAAAAGTGGCGCCAAAAACTATTACACCAATTACAAACGAGTATTAAATTTTTTTTTTTAATTAAACTCAAAACAGTTTTAAAACTATATAGTTACATAGCTATGGCTTATATTAACCATAAAATATGTTTGTCTGTGCAAAACGAGGCTTTAATAACGATATTGAATAATAATTGCAAAGTCACGTGATTGGGGATAGGGAATTGCGGTACGCATGCGCGAGCGGATGGTGGGCGGGTCGCTCGGACGCGTAATGCAACCCCCAGCACTACGTGGCCGGCATGTGGGAGCAATGCTCCTTGGGAGATGTAGTCATGCCGGTCACTGTGTGCATGGGGAAGGTGGCGAGCAAGCTGGCTTAAAATACCAATAGTCAGCTACTCCCACTGCAAGCAGATACAAAATAAGAGAGGGGAGAGGGACCAAATAACTACAGAAAAGAACCTTATAGATGGGACTACAAAGTAATAAGATAATATTAGTGCCACAAATAGGTTAGTCAGAGAGTATTGTGCAGGCAAATAATATGAACTATATAAATAAAAAATGGACATGGATATACATAAAAATAAATAAACATAGATGGTAAGATAATTGGATACTGGTAAAAGGTGACATACATGATTCCAATACATCCTGTAGTGGGGATTATACCACCAAGTGCCTTTCACCCCAGAGCCGGTCCTAGCTCCACCAAAGATATCCATAGGTGGGGATAATTCCACCAGCGCTGTGGCAATAGAGCAGTATTTTCTGCTCTACTCTTGTGAGTATATTTTATTTTATTTGTTTTATTGTTCTTACTGAGAGCACTATTTGCTGTTTCTTATACCTTGTGGAATACGACGGAACCCAAGCCGGACGGACGGACCTACCCTTCCAGTACATCCAGTAGTGGGGATTATACCACTAAGTGCCCTTCACCACAGAGCTGGACCTAGCTCCATCAAATGTGAGTGTACAATCCTCCTTTTTACTTATTTTTACCCTTGGAGCTACAATATTTCACCATTGGCAGTTTTTTGTGTTTTCTTTTATCTCCACATATACGGATTATCTACAACCCGGACGGATCAACTCCTGAGGATTGTACACATACCCTATCCATATATCAGTGAGACTGTTTTTATTGATTTTATTCAACATTTTTCTTATCATTTGATTTTTATTGAACATCTGCATGGACTCTGTTTTATTCATTATTTTTATATAATTGCAATAGAGACTATTATACCCAGGTTTTATCACTTGCTGATTATACACTTCAACCAAATTGGTTTCTATTTTATGGTACTGTTCTCTGTACAATAGCGCAGCCCTTAACTCCTCCTTTTTTTTCTTCCCATCTTACCAAGGGTCTTGAGGGATTCCCTTTAAGGATTGCTGCTTTCTTCTCTGTTATTAAGCGCAGACTCTTCCCCTCTATTTTTTTTTGTTTAAAACAGGTGCATCAACGAATTGGTACCCTCAATATACCTATAGCGCCTCCCTTGACCACAGAAATCCCACCGCAGTATTTGGACTTAAAGGAGGTATTCAACAAGGTACAGTCGGAGTTATTAGCACCACATAGACCCTACGACTGTGCCAAAAATTTGTTACCGGGCACTATGCCCCCTAAAGGAGGAGTATATGCACTATCTCCCCAAGAAAATCTTTGTTTAGAAGAGTACATAAAGGATGCTCTCAGAAAGGGTCACATAAGTAGATCCTCTTCACCTGCTGGGGCTGGGTTCTTCTTCGTTTCTAAAAAAGAAGGAGACCTACGCCTATCCCATTCCCCTTATTTCTGAGTTATTCGATATGTTGAAAGGGGCCCGAGTCTTCACTAAGCTCGACCTCAGAAGTGCTAACAACCTAGTCAGAATTAAGGAAGGGCACGAGTGGTTGACC